CCAGATACTTTAAACTCCTCCACTGGAGGCAGGACGACCCTCCTGACCCGGAGAAGGCACTCTACCCTTTTTCGGCTCAAGACCATGACCTCGGATTTGGATCAGAACCAGCATTACTCAGCTAGCCATGCTATCAGGAAGGTTTTGATTCAGTAACACAGGATTGTTTATTTTGATGCAACCTGCATTTAAATTGAATCTCCTTTGAGTCTCCTTTATTACTTGACATTATTTGATATAGACAGGCTTATTTGACTAAAAAATTTATGGTACTGAGAGCCTTACTGTTAAATATTATTTTACTGATTGCAGATTTTTCAATTATACTTTTGACTGAGTAGCTGCTGTATTGTGCCTGGAAGTATTTTACATGTTTATGTCTAAATTAGGTGACTTTATTGCCAAATCATTTTTTTGATTTTGCTAGATAACATGGTATCATTTATACCTAAAGCAAAAAATTAACAGCCAATCCAGATGATCGGCTGGTGATCGGCAAAGATCGGCCTCATGGGTCATTGGTATTGGAATCGGCAGCAAAAAACCTGATTGGAGCATCCCTACTCTGAACACACAATTTCCACTAACATAAAAAATAAAAGATTACATTTTTTTCTTCATATCTTGAAACATTAAATGTACATTAAATTATGGAATCATGTAAATATGTTCTTTAATAAAACACTGTAAAAGTGTGTCTGTTCATCAATGTCAATTTAAAAACTATTTAGCACAATCATTTCTGTCAAATAAAAACATTGTGCTCTTTATTCAGAAATCCCCACAAAACATTTAAATAATCACATCAAAATTTAGAAACCCTGTCTTTAGTGCTTTCTTTGATTACCAAATATATTAGTGTATCTGAGAGAATGTGTCAATGACACAATGGTATTAACTTAAAATGCTTTGCAGAACAGCACTTTGTGAAGTTAACTTGTATTAGCTTACCGGCAGATAAGACACATCCAATATGGCGGATGCTGTGACGTATCGCAGCAACAGGCCGACCCGGTCTATGAGGCATCTATGTATACTGTACATGTCCATGCTCCTCCCTATTAGTAACTAAAATTTCCACCTTGTCTAACTCAGTTGATTATCAAGACTTCAATTTAAACCACTTAAAGGGGGAAGATGCCAAAAACTAATAAGACCGAAAAGAAAACATCCAAAATACAAGATATTGGCGAACAGTCAATGGCAGTGAGGTTGGTGCTACCACATGGAAAGCTAGTGTTAACTTACAACAACATAAGTTGCTGGAGAGTATCAAGATGATTTCTAAAGACTTAGAGTTTTAAAAAAGAAATGAAACGTGACCCTAACCCTAACCCCTAAGACCACAGTGAAAGAAGACCTCAGCAGATTCAGGGAGGAAATGATGCGTGAGCTACAGAACCAGAAAGGAAATATCACCGAAGCGTAGACCTGAATAGCTAACCTTGAAGCTGCGTACTTGGAAATGAAAGACGCACTACTTGAGAGACATTAGAAAGAAACAAAGCAATGAATGACAAACTTCTGGATTTGGAGAGCCGGCGCAAGAATTTTCATATCTACGGCATTTCGTAGGGAAAAGATTGTAGATTGGTTACTGGTTTTGTTGCCGGTAGTAATGCCATTGGTTGAAACCTTCCAACACACACCAGTTGAGCTGAGACTCTATAAAAAGGTGATGTTGGAAGGGAAAGACAGAGATTTTGGATATGTACTGTTGAAACTGTAAGGCGTATTTTCCTGTGAATAAATCTCTCTCCCGTCGGCCGAAGCAGTTAAAATCGAGTCCAGTGTGCGTTATTTCTTATATTTATGTATTGCAACGGTTAACGATCTTTCTATTCTCCAATACAGGATTCATAAGAGGTCTCCAAACACAAGATAACATCAGGAGGGCACTTCACATTGTAGATCATATTCAAAATAAAAAAACTAAAGCTATTTTAATTAGTCTCGATGCAGAGAAAGCTTTTGACAACGTAAGCTGGAACTTCTTATACAAAGCACATGAAAATTTTGGTTTTAATGAAAAAGCTGTACAATTTGTATGGTCCTTGTACCTATCACCAATGGCCAGAATCAAGATCAATGGAAATCTATCTGATACCATAAAATTAGAGCGCTCTACACGTCAGGGTTGTTGTTTATCACCAACATTATTTGCAATTTATGTTGGAGCACTGGCACAATATATAAAGCAACATAAGAATCTCAAGGGTATTGATATACATGATGAGTCTCATGTAATAGGTTTGTTTGCAGATGATGCAATGTGCTCAGGTCCTTTGCAGACTCTAACAAGTTTTCTTCGAGAATGGTCCTGCATTTGGCTCCATCCATCTTCCCATCAATTTTAACCATCTTCCCTGTCCCTGCTGATGAAAAGCAGGCCCGAACCATGATGCTGCCACCACCATGTTTGTCAGTGGGAATAGTGTGTTTAGGGTGATGAGCTGTGTTGCTTTTATGCCAAACATATCGTTTTGCATTGTGGCCAAAAAGTTAGATTTTGGCTTCATCTGACCAGAACTCCTTCTTCCACATGTTTGGTGCGACTCCCAGGTGGCTTGTGGCAAACTTTAAGTGAGACTTTTTTTGGATATCTTTGAGAAATGGCTTTCTTCTTATCGCTCTTCCATAAAGGCCAGATTTGTGCAGTGTACGACTGATTGTTGTCATATGGACAGACTCTCCCACCTCAGCTGTAGATCTCTGCAGTTCATCCAGAGTGATCATGGGTCTCTTGGCTGCATCTCTGATCAGTCTTCTCCTTGTTCGAGATGAAAGTTTAGAGGGATGGCCTGGTCTTGGTAGATTTGCAGTGGTCTTCTGACACTCCTTCCATTTCAATATGATCACTTGCTCAGTGCTCCTTGAGATGTTTAAAGCTTGCGAAACATTTTTGTATCCAAATCCAGCTTTAAACTTCTCCTCAACAGTATCTGGGATCTGCCTGCTGTGTTCCTTGGTCTTCATGATGCTCTCTGCATTTTAAACATAACCCTGAGACCATCACAGAGCAGGTGCATTTATATGGGGACTTGATTACATACAGGTGGATTCTACGTATCAGTCATTTAGGACAACACTGGATCATTCAGAGATTTCACTCAACGTCTGGAGTGAGTTTGCTGCCCTGAAAGTAAAGGGGCCGAATAATATTGCACGCCCCACTTTGCAGTTGTTTATTTGTTAAAAAAGTTTAAAATATCCAATAAATTTCATTCCACCTCACGATTGTGTCCCACTTGTTTGTTCATTCTTCACAAAATAATAAAAATTTTAGGTTTTTATATTTGAAGCCTGAAAAGCGTCAAAAGGTTGAAAAGTTCAAGGGGACCTAATACTTTGACAAGGCACTATATCTGTTACGAAATACAGGCACTAACAAATTGGATATTAAAACAAAATGGGAAAGGAACTTGGGAATTATATTAACAGAAGAATATCTGGAAGGCCCAAATTATAACATCCTCTTCTAGAATTTGGAGAACATTGTTAGACTTAGACTTATTTTATTGTCATTGCACAAAGAAACATAAGTAAAATTGGCAATGAAATGTCATCGGTTGGCCACCAGAGCACACACAAAAACACAAGTGTGCCTATAATTAATTAATATGCAAATAATAATTACTATTTTCAAACAGCCTCAGACAGTCTTCATGATGGGATTGTTGAGCAATCTGATGGGAGACAGCTATTTCTGAGTCTGGCTGTTCTGCAGCGGATGCTGCGGACTCTCCTCCCAGACGGCAACCGGATGAACAGATGAACATGGACAGGATGGGTGGAATCAGGCAGGATCTGGTTTGCTCTGGCTAAGCAGCGTCTGTGTGCAATGCTCTGGATAGGAGAGAGTGGAGCCCCAATGATCTCGGCTGTCTTCGCCACTCTTCGCAATGACTTCCATTCTGACACCTTGCAGCTTCCAGACTGCAAGGAGATACTGCTGGTGAGCAGGATCTCAGTGGTTCCTCTGTAAAAGGTGGGGAGGATGAAAGGGGGGAGCGGAGCTCTTGGAAGAACACAATCAGATTTTTTGTAACACCCCAAATCACCAGTAAATTCAAATCTAGAGTTCAACTATGTTGGAGAGATTGTGGAGCATTTCATGTTAACCACACACTTGTTTTCTGGCTTTGTCCCAGAATTTTAAGACAAAATACACTAGGAGATTGTAACAATATTGGGCTACACAATGCCTAAGATCTGTTTGGTTTTTGTAGCTTGGTCTCTTGGAAAATTTAAAATTATGCTATTGGCAGCCAAAAAGGTAATCACCAGGAAATGGTGCCAACCTGAACCTCCTACTACAAAGGAATGGATACAGACCGTAAACTCATTATTTGAGACAGAGATTTTAACATACAGAGTAAGGACAAAGGAAGAGCAATGCCAGACAAATTGGAAAAATGGACAAATGTCACATCAATGTTACAGGACTAATTTTGGATATAAAGGGTCCCCTTATGTTATGTGTTATTTAACTAAAAATCTCCCCCTAGAGTGCAGTTTTTTTCTCATTTTGTTTTTTCTCTCTCTTATAATTTCTGTGTAAATTGTACCTAAAAATGTCAATTAAAATAAAGTTATGAAAAAAGTTAATGTTACTCAATCAGTACATACTAATGTTTTTAAGTTTTGCATACAATTTTCAAGAAAACTCCACTTATTTTGTTTTAGTGTAGCATAGCATGCCTGTTTGAATTGTGCTAAGGTAAGTTAAATGGTTTAAGGCAATGAGTTTCCTCAAATCGAGTTAAATTAATTTATCAGATTTAACAGTATACATTCACAATCCTTTTTGCCTTAGGCGTCTATACATTTTTATTTTCACCATCTGAAAATAAAAAATAGAAAATCTTCCATTTTCATAAGATAAAATAGAAATATATTTTAAGAATCTAACCTAAAATCCATAAATAGGATAAGAGAAAAAAAAAGATAGGAATGGAAGTAAAAAATAAAAGTTTGAGGAAATAAGAAATTTCTATGGTGAAGGAGTGGCAGGTAGTATCCTACCTTTCCTTGAGAATAGTTTTGTTCTCTTTTTTCCATTGGTCCTTGAAATCGGAGGAGAATTCATGCCAGATGGAAAATAAGGTGTTGGGGGAAACCTCCTTTTCTCCTGCTTTGGGCTTCACTGAATAGAACACCGTCAGCTCTAAGAACCTGTAGAGAACAGACACATTCACAATGTCATTTTTTTCAATATTTAACAACCAGAGAGAGATAAGCTACAGTTCCTAAATTTGTCTTACTTTTTGAAATAAGATTTTGTGAAAAAATATATCTTTAAAAATACACAAAGTATAAAGTAATCACAATGATACGCAGGAAGCTATGACATCAATAAACAGAAAAAAAACAAAGCCTGAGCTTACAGTTTGTGAGTGCTGCTGAGTTGAGCATCCAGGATCTCTAGTTCACTTTTAGCTAACAAAGGAAGAAAAGTTTGAAATTCAGTTTCATTTGTTTATTTTTTGGTAGCACACAGCAAAAGTCAGTACACACATTCACTCCAATAAACACAGTAGCGGTTCAGACAGTGTCTGTCTCCTGTCCTGTTCTTGCATTTCATCACAGGTACTGAACCAGTACTGAAAATGCTGTAATGTAATCTTACATCTTTGCCTTCCTGAGACAGTGTGTTTTTTTCAAAGATGAATAGGAAATAGCCTTTCAGGAAAGAAGCCAAAAGGCCTGGCTGAAAGAAGAAGTCTGCTGGAAAATGAGGAAAGACCCCTCCTGATAGCCTAATCATGGTTGATAGATTTACAGCATACCTTGTGTAAGAAACCCATCCATCTTCTCTTTGAAAGGCTGCAAGTTATCCTCATCAGACACCTTGCAAACTTTTTCCACTTCCGATGTACATGCTAGTTAAAGTGATGAGTGTAAAACATATGGGTTACACAAACAGCATTTATAAATAATAAAATAAGATTTGCATGTTGTGCCTCAGTGTATGATGTAATATTCACGTTCCTGACATTGTGTAAGAACATTGTATCCAGACTACACTGTGTGCACAATTATTAGGCAAGTTTTAATTTTGACCATATAATCATTTTATGCATATTTTCCAACTCCAAACAGTAAAAACATGAATGCTTATTGAATATAAACACATCAGCTGTTGTGTATTTGTTAAATGAGGGAGAGTGGAGCCTCACCCTATATCAAGGTGTGCAGAATTATTAGGCACCTTCTTTTCCTCAGGCGAAATGGATCAAAAAAGAGATTTAAGAGACTCTGAAAAGTCAAAAATTGTATAGTCTTTCAAAGGGCTGCAGCACTCTTGAAACTGCTGAGATATAGGGGTGTGATTATAGAACCATCAAACTTCTTGTCAACAGGGTTGCAAGAAATGTGTTGAGAAAAAAATATGTAGATTAACTGCCAAAGATTTGAGAAGAATCAAACATGATTATCTTCCAGTGCTGTTATATTGCAGAATTGCAGAAGTACAAGATATTCAGAGCTCAGAAACATGGCCAAGGTAAGGAAGGATGAAACCCGAACACCACTGAACAAGACACCTAAGTTGAAACATGAAGACTGGGCCAAGAGAGATCTGAAGACAGATCTTTCAAAAGTTTTATGGACTGATCAGATGAGAGTGACTCTTGACGGACCAGATGGATGGGCCTGTGGCGGATCAGTGATGGGCACAGAGCTCCACTTCACATCAGACACCAGCAAGGTGGAGGCAGGTACTGGTATGGACTGCTATTATTAAATAGCAGAAAGTTGAAAGTTGAGTCCAACTTTCAGGTTGAAGTTGGACTCAAAAAGTTGTACTTTTTGTTGTACTCCAGAGCCTACTACTAGTTTTTAGAAGACACTTTTTTCACTTTCTTTAAAACAGCTGAAACACTGGGTGCCTTTAAATCTCAACTTTAAACCCACCTGTTTAGAGTTGCTTATGGCTAAATTAGGGTTAGAGTGCGGGTTTTGATGTCTTCGATGTTTTTAATGTTTTTATCTTTACTTTTTATCTACTTATTAATTTATTTTTATTCCTCTTTCTATTGATGTAAAGCCCCCCCAGAGAGGCGTGGGTACTGTCCCCCACTCGTAGCCCTATTCAGGTTAGAGTCCCTTGAGTAAAACGTGGGGTTAGAGTCCCAGTTAAACGACATTTAACTAAAGTCCTGCGGGGTTTAGAGTCCCAGTTGACGGCGTTTCAACTAAAAACCTAGAGATTGGAGTCCTTGTCAAACAGCATTTTTGACTAAAGTCCCAGTAAGGACAGGGGTACGGGTGTTGTCCCCCCTGGTTGAAAAGGGGTGCGGGTTTTAATGTTCTTATCTTTTTTAATCTTTTTCTTTTTTTTTCAAAATCTCTCTTTCTTTCATTGTTTATTCAATGTCACATGCTGTTTTTATTTTTTTTATTATGTAAAGCACTTTGAAATGCTTTGCTGCTGAAATGTGCAATACAAATAAAATTTGATTGATTGATTGATTGATTAAAGCAGTGGTACAGGAAAAAGTCTGCATCCTTCAAGAAGACCATGACTTTTATGCAGGACGATACTCCATGACAAGCATCAAGTACTCCTCTATGTGGCTAGCCAGTAAAGGTCTGAAAGATGAAAGAATAATGAAGTGGTCCCCTTCCTCACCAGACCTAAACCCCATTAAAGACCTATGGACCCTTATTAAATGGGAGATTTACCATTGTAAATCTCATGGAAAACAGAACACATCTCTGAACAGTGTCTGTGTTGTGGTTGCTACTGCACAAAAAGATTATCAAGAGATCAAGAAACTGACAGACTCCATGAATGTAAGTCTGTCAGCTCAACTGTTATTGAAAAGAAGGGTGGCTATATTGGTCACTGATTTATTTTTTAAATGTTACAAATGTTTGTCAATTTTGAGTTGTATGATTTTTATTCTCACTTTAACGGATGACAAACAGGTGAGATGGGGAAATTTTCAGTTTTAATTCAGTTGCATAATAATTCTGCACACTAATAGTTGCCCAATAATCGTGCACATATAGATATTGTCGTAAGAAAGCCAAAATCTCACTTTTACTTCCTTAAATATTCAGGCTTGAGAGATTATTGTTTGAGAGCACTGTAGTTGTTCAGTAATTAAAATAATCCTCAAAACTACAACTTGCGTAATAATTGTGCATACAATGTACAGCTTCTGATGGCAGATCAAACTGATTAAAACAATCTCTCTCTCAGATCCTTGGGTCATCATGACTGAACTCTGTTTCGTAGCAAACTGGCATCTGGATTTGATTTTATTCTACCTTTTTTTCCTTCTTTTTCTTCAATATTCTGATTTAATGGAGCATGACTTTATTATTTTGTTTTTTTATATATGTGTGTTACCTCTGAGGTCCTTCCGGAGTCGAATGAAGTCCTTCTGAAAATCTTCAAATTTCATCTGTGAAACTTGGAACAGGTCATGGGGCTCAGGAAGAGGAAACACAGACGTCTCCTTCCCAGCATCCTTTTGATCAACACACATGCATATTAAACAGTATGAAAGATTGACAACAGGAAAGTAAAAATGCCAAATAAGAAATGCACAGGTTTGTCACTATAACAAAAACGTTGTGCGCAAAATGTTCATTTTTAACTGTCTATAAAGTAGTACATGGACACAATGTGTCAAAAAAATGTAGTAATGACTACCTACCAGCTACCTACCAGTTTTAACAGGTGGTCGTTTTGTTAGATCAGGATGATGCATTTCATAACTTGAGTACAGAAATAATAAATCATGGTTATGAAAACAGTGAAGTCCAGTCTTTGTTTTGCTGCTTTCTGACTTCAATATTTGTTGAAGTCAGAAATTGTTGGTGCTAGGGTTCACTAGAGGGAGCCCTACTCCTAATTATTTTGACCCCAAAGATAAAACGGTGAGATGGAGAAAGGAGTTGGGTGGAAGTCAAATAAAAGTATGGTTTTATCTTTATTACTACCATAGACAATGGATTAACGGTCTCATCCCAGTCAAACAACTGTTGAAACCTGTGAAGCTGCAGAACAAAGACTGGGCATCACTTGTTTACTGATACCAGTGCCCTTGGTTTTCTTTTAACATTGTTGACTTCAAAAGCAATACCCAATATATTACCTTCATAAACTTTATAGATTTTTATATCAGCACCCATTGTTTCTGTCATTAATCTTGAAGATGTCAGTAATAAATTGAGTCTTTGAAACATCGTATCAGAGAATTGTATCTATTCTCTGTTCACTATACAGTGCATATCTGTCAGGTTGGATTCTGTTTTGTTTTCGTTTTGGTTTCTGTTTTCTTTTGTTTTGGGAAGCCTGCTGCTTCCACATTCCCCCACCAGATGTCGCCTGTGAGCAGAGCCCCTGGAGCAGCGCATGGGAGAACCTGGAGACACACCTGTGGCGCATTAGATGACAGATACTGTGGATATTTAAGAAGCGGCGAGCTGACACGTCGTTGCCTGACTGTTTGTTTATCCTGGTAATCAAACGTTCCAGTGAGAGGCCCTTTGCGTAAGCTCCCCGAAGTAATCCTGTCTGTGCTTTTTCTCGTCGTCAGGTTTTGCCTGAGGTTCTCCAGCGTTTCTCAAGAATAGAGTTTATGCTAACTCCTGCGAACCCCCTGTCTGCTTCCTCACGACGCCATTGGTATTACCAATCGGTTGCCTTCCTCGAGCACTCCCTTCATGGTCCTTTGTTCCTTTGCACATAAACTGGGTTAAAGCACACGTAGAATCTTGGTCCTCCAATTGTCACACTACCTGTCTTTGTTCAGCATTTCCCTCGAGTACTCTGCCTGAAGAGATCTCCGAAAGTGAACTCCCTGATCTCTCCGCAGTTCCCGTTGAGTACAATGATCTAGCTCCTGTATTCAGTAAGGATAAGGCTTTGTCACATCCACCTCATCGCCCGTATGATTGTGCCATTGATCTTCTGCCCGGCGCTCCTCTGCCTAACAGCTGTCTATATAACATTTCACGTTCTGAACGCCAAACCATGGAGAAATACATCAACGACTGATTAGCAGCAGGTATTATTCGTTCATCCACCTCACCTCTTGGCGCAGGATTTTTCTTTGTGGGGAAATAAGACGGTTCATTAAGACCTTGCATAGATTACAGAAGTTTAAACCAAATCACCATTAAAAATAAATATCCTCTTCCACTCCTCTCGTCAGCATTTGAACCGGTTCAGGGTGCAACCGTGTTCACAAAACTGGATCTCAGAAATGCTTACCATCTCCTCCGCATCCGAGAAGGAGATGAATGGAAAACCGCCTTCAAAACGCCTATGGGTCATTTTGAATACCTAGTCATGCCTTTTGGTCTTTCGAACACTCCTGCCTTTTTTCAAGCCCTTGTGAACGATGTTCTAAGAGACTTTATAAATGATTTCGTTTTTGTCTACTTGGATGACATTCTGATTTATTCCAGCTCCTTGAGAGAACACAAGTTACACGTTCGACAAGTTCTCCAGGTCTTCTGGAGAACCGACTATGTTAAAGCAGAGAAGTGTGAGTTTCATCAACCTTCAGTCACCTTCCTCGGATATGTCCTCGAGGGCGGACAGGTAAGACCGTCGGAGGATAAAATAAAGGCTGTGTTGGAGTGGCCTAGACCAGAGACTCATAAGCAGTTACAATGGTTCCTAGGATTTGCCATCTTTTATCGCTGTTTTATACGTAACTACAGTCAGACGGCCTCCCCACTAACAGCACTTACTTCCCCCAAGACAATGTTCTCCTGGACACCCGAAGCAGAAGAGGCTTTTACTCAGTTAAAGTCATTGTTTGCCAACGCACCTATCCTCATCCAGCCAGATCCCACCAGACAATTTATTCTTGAGGTTGATGCTTCAGATTTGGGAGTAGGGGCCGTCCTGTCCCAAGTCTCTCCAAGTGATAAGTCTCACTCATGTGCCTTCTTCTCCCGCAGACTGTCTCCTGCAGAGAGGAACTACGACGTAGGAGATCGGGAGCTACTGGCTATAAAGCTAGCCCTGGAGGAATGGCGTCACTGGCTGGAGGGAGCTGAACACCGCGTTGTTGTTTGGACCGACCACAAGAACCTCGCTTATCTCCAATCTGCCAAACAAAACAACCCACGACAGTCCCTCTGGTCAGTATTCTTTTCCCGATTTAACCTCTCCATCTCCTACAGCCCAGGATCCAAGACTGTTAAGCCAGACGCCCTCTCCAGACTCTATACCCCTGACGACTCGGATGAAGGACTGGCACCTCTGCTACCCCCGAGTTGCACGGTCGGAGTAGTCACTTGGGAAATTGAGGATATTATTCGTCAAGCCCAGCGTCGAACCATCTCTTGAGTCCTGCCCCAATGGTAAGATTTATGTCCCCACCTCTGTCCGAGCCCGTTTTCTTCAATGGATACACTCATCCAGATCCTCAGGACACCCAAGGGTAAGCCACACTATTGAGTTGGTCAATTGAAGATTTTGGTAGGAATCCATTCATAAAGATGTCAAGGAGTTTGTCCTCGCCTGCCCCACCTGTTCAAGAAATAAGTCTTCTCATCAACCACCCTCTGGCTTACTTCAACCCCTACCTGTTCCTAAACGAAGATGGTCACACATTGCCATCAATTTTGTTACTGGGCTTCCACCCTCAAAAGGTATGACCACCATTTTCACCGTCATAGACCATTTTTCTAAAGCCTGCCATCTCATCCCTCTCTGCAAGTTACTCACCTCCGCTCAAACAGCCCTCCTACTTTTCAAACATGTGTTCAAGCTGCATGGCATGCCCTAGGAGATCCTTTTAGACCGTGGTCCTCAGTTCATCTCTCAGGTTTGGAAACAGTTCTGTTCTGCCTTGGGTGCAAAAGCTGTTCTCTCTTCTGGTTATCATCCACAGACAGAGAGGATGAACCAGGAGATGGAAGCCACTCTTTGCTGTATCTCCTCATCCAACCCCGAAGATTGGGCTCAGTATTTCCCTTGGGTGGAATACGCCCATAACAGTCATGTTTCTGCAGCTACCGGTCTATCTCCTTTTGAGGTTTCTGTTAAGAAAATAAATTTAAAGTATGCTAGTTTTAAAGCTTAACATGTCTTGATTTAAATAGCCTAATTATAGTTTTGAAATTAGTAACTTATTCTGCCCTATTGACCTATTGACCTTTATGTTATCTGTAGTTACAACAGATGATTTGCTAAGATCTTTTGAACTGCCATTTGTCTGTGTGGGAAACAATCAGGAGAAGTTCTAGCTTTTCACACTCATTTGTGAAAAGCCATAAAACAGCAGGAGTTCAGGAGAAGCTCTGCTCTCACTTGTTTAAACAATGGGCACAAATGGTCTTAGATCATGACTTGCAGGAAGTTTTAAAAAGGGTCAGAGATAGCTTCTGGTTGGATGAGCAAAGGTACGCCTTATTTGAATAAATTAAAGACAAGAATACGCCTTTACTATTAAACTTTCTACACAGGAGTAACAAATCAGACTTGTCTTTGCACGTTTTTGCTTTCCTTTCTTTCTTTCTTCTTCTTTTCCATTTGTCTCAGGTAAATGAATGTATGTCTCTGTTGTTCTGCAATTTCTATTGTAATTTTATGTGTTGTCTTCTACTGGATTAAACTCTGTAATTCTGTGACATCTGCACTCATTGTTGTTTTCTGTGTGGCTACGCGCGGCCCGCCGGGAGAACCTGGGATCGAAAAAGATTGAGCCAGAGTTTCTTTCTTAAGAAATATTATAACCTAAAATCTTCTTCAACATTTCCCTGGGTTATCAGCCGCCATTGCTATCCACCGACGAAGACAAGATCTTGGTAACCTCTGACCAACATCACATTCGCCATTGCAATAGAATCTGGAAAGACACAATCTCTGCATTAAACAATACAGCCGCACAAAATAAATGTCTGGCCGACCGCAGAAGAACCCCTGCTCCTGTTTATACCAGAAAGTATGGCTGTCCACTAGGGACATACCTCTGAAGTCCCTGTCAAAGAAACTCTCTCCCAGGTTTATCGGCCCGTTTGAGATCCTAACCGTCATCAGTCCCACCGCTGTCCGTCTCCGTTTACCCTTCTCTCTACGCATTCATCCCACCTTCCACGTTTCCCAGATTAAGCCAGTCCAGTCCCTTGTGCCCTCTGGCCGAACCCCCTCATCCCACCCGTGACATACTCTGTTCGCCGGATTATTGACTCCTGTTGACGAGGTGGTGGGTTCCAGTACCTCGTTGACTGGGAGGGTTACGGTCCGGAGGAACGCTCTTGGGTTCCCCATTCCTTCATTCTTGACCCTTCATTGATTAGTGATTATACCGCCTCTCAGCCATCCACCTCTTCTCGGCCGCCAGGTGGCGTCCGTTGAGGTTGAGTATTGTCAGGTTGGATTCTGTTTTGGTTTTGTTTTGGTTTCTGTTTTCCTTTGGGAAGCCTGCTGCTTCCACATTCCCCCACCAGATGCCGCCTGTGAGCAGAGCCCCTGGAGCAGCGCATGGGAGAACCTGAAGACACACCTGTGGCGCATTAGATGACAGATACTGTGGATATTTAAGAAGCGGCGAGCTGACACGTCGTTGCCTGACTGTTTGTTTATCCTGGTATTCAAACGTTCCAGTGAGAGGCCCTTTGACGACGAATGTATGACGACGAGAAAAAGCACAGACAGGATTACTTCGGGGAGCTCCCCGAAGTAATCCTGTCTGTGCTTTTTCTCGTCGTCAGGTTTTGCCTGAGGTTCTCCAGCGTTTCTCAAGAACGGAGTTTTTGCTAACTCCTGTGAACCCCCTGTCTGCTTCCTCACGATGCCATTGGTATTACCAATCGGTTTCCTTCCTCGAGCACTCCCTTCCTGGTCCTGTGTTCTCTGTGGATTCCTTCATGACGCAGCAGTACGTACCTGTTTGTGCCCGAAGCCTTCCGGCTTCTCATTCTCTGGATCGTTGTCAGCCGTCAGCTCGCCCTCGACCCAGCAAACTTACCAGTCCGCCCTCCCACGACTCCTCGGTTCTCCTCGCCGCCTCCGGAATACAGTCTGCTCCAACAAGTAACTCACTCTGCTCCAAAGTAAGCCTCCGCCATAAGATCTGTGACTCCTTGTTTATCAGAACCTTGCCTTTACTTCTCATTAACAGTGGCTGTTCTGGTGGATCCAATCCTGACTCCTGCTCCGCACTCACTCCCTTTTCCTTTACAATAAACTATATTGTTTTGAAATACGCATCTCCTGATTGTGTTCTTGCATGTGGGTTCAAAGACTGAAACTAAAACATGACAATATCCACAAAGTTCATTTAATCTTTTTAGGATTTTAGACTAAAAAAGTAGTGCATAATTGTAAAGTGGAAAAAAGTACAAACAAAAAGCACATACATTTTTTACTGGTAAGTTTATACAAAGATAAAATTCACATAACTTGGCTTTAATACTAACATTACTTCTAAAAGCAATTTCTTGCACAGGATTTTGTTTATGTATTAGAATAAAGAGAGCTGAATTCAAATGCCTTTTATCCCTATGACATTTAAGGTTGTATTGTTTTTCTGTCATTTAACAATTGTGCCCGACTTTGTATTGGTCTATCACATAAAATCCCAATACAATGTGTTTTGTGTGTGTGGTTAATAGATATGCAATGCACAGTAATCATCTGATTGTAAGGAAACTTTGGGCATTACAATAACATTAACACATGTAAAATGCTGCAAAGGAAAAAAGCTGAAAGAAGTTTAATGAGCTGAATAAAGAAAGGGAAGAAGTTTACCTCATCAAAGTGTCTGAGGAAGTAGGCTACAATGTATGACAGAAGACTTTTAGCACCATCCTGCATGCAGAAAAACAAGAGACACTGACATTCTGAACAGCGTGGAGATAACAGTACAAACTGATGCTTACTATTTCCAACTGCTGTATAAACTGCCCTTTCAAGTTTCTATCATTTTGTGAGGATAACATTTTTTTTCATTACAAATATGTACATGCAAAATGTTTACAAAAGACTAAAATACTACTTTGCCTAACATTTGTATGAAGTAGTATGTGCTTGTGTCACAAATTACTGTTATGGAATTTGGAAACAAGCTGATGTAATTTTGACTTGATTTCATTTGATGTATGACTGTAGCTACCTAAAAACCCATGGGCTTCTTTATATACTGTATCTTAAAATGTAAGGGTTTAATTACATGAATCTAAAAGTCGACTCTGTGACATAGAAAGTACTCCTGTGTTTCTTTTTATTGTGTGTAAGCTTTGCTTTCTCAAACTCCCATTTGGTCATGGCAGATTGCCGCTCACACTTAGTCTGGTTCTACTTGAAATTTCTTCCTGATAGACAAGAAACACTTTTACTTTTTTTAAAAAAACACTTTATTGATCTCATAGGGAAATTAAATGTTGTTGTAATTAAATTTAATTAAAAAAATTATTGTAGATAGTGATGGCAGTGGACAGGAAAGATCTCCAGTAGACATCTGTATTACAATAAATTTAAAGAAACCTGTTTTTCTATGACACTTTAATGAAGAGGATGGTCAGGCTTGTCCATAATTTTCTTCATTTGATGTAAAATCCTTCTTTCCATCATCATCTCCAGACAATCCACAGTCATTGCCAGAATAGAACCAGCCTTCTTTATCAGGTTGCTGAACTGTTTTAGGTTTTTGCAATGATTAATCAGCATTTGTGATTTGTTTTGGCTCTTTAGAAACCAATCTTCTTTTAAGGTTCTGTCATTTATTTCCATCAAGGTGCAATATAATAAGAAAAAAGAAAAACTACTTAAGGCCCAACAACTTTTCTCTTAAATACTTTTAAATGCTGGAGGAACTACTGAGCACCTTAGTGTAAAAATAAAGTTGACCAAAAATAACAGTAACAATCGGAAAAATATGTGGCTAAGATGAAATTGGAAAGTGTTTTAGTACATTTTGCACAAAACAAAACAAGACAAAAAAAATCAAGAGGCCCAAATATGATTTCAAATTGGAATGTTTTAACAAAATATGATTTCTTTACTCACATTGCTCTTGACATCTTTGAGTTTTGGCAAAATCTCAAGAGTGAAGCCATCAGCTTGACCTCTTGTTCGATTCCCACCATTCATGAAATTACCAAATGCCAGAACCAAGCCTAGAATCTTCTTCACTGAAACATTGTCCTGCAGAGTCTGTCAAAAAGGTTGAAGACAAAGGCAAATAATGCAATGGGTTGATTTCTTTTTCTGATATTATATATATATGGTAAAAAAAAAAAAAAGCTTTAAAAAAATCTATGGGAATAAGGAGAAAGACAAAATAATATGAAAATCTGATTATTTTATTAATATATCATTTGTAAAAGAACTAAACAATCAACAGTGATTTGTTGAACCAACTAACTTCCATCTAGATAAAAAAAATCAATATTAAATCAAAAACAAACCTCCTCCTGAAAAGGCACAACAAAAACAATCACCAAAAGCAGGCTTGGTTCCAACAGAATGGACTAATATTTCTGCTACAAACAAGCGTGGCTCGTCATGACTTCCAGCCTGTTGACCTTTGTTACATGTCTTCCCACTCTCTCACAACAAACGTTCCTATCAATCACCACTATGAAGACTACTAGAGCCACAAAAATCCTTAACAAAATAAATACACAGATAATCAACACACTACTTCAGTGAAACAAATCTATGTCAATCTTGGCCCATGTTCTTTCACGCTCCTGATGTGACATCAGTGGCTCAATGTGGTACTACCCCAGGGCACAACTACATACTTTCTGAGGTGTATGTAAAGATACTACTACAATTTTGAGTAATGACATTTAATCTCAAATGTCCCCTGCCAAGTTCTATAACAAGGGTCACCAACCTTTTTGAGTCCAAGAGCTATAGTGACACAGAGGACACAGATAAACACAGGTTTAAGTGTGTTTGATGCACACATAAACTTGTATAACTCATTTTTAATTAAAGTATCAATAATAATAAATGTACATGTGTGATTAAATTGCTGCCTAGAGAGCAATTTAAAAAAGAATGAAACAAAAAACAGGGCAATATTTCATTATTTAATATATAAGTGAGCCAAAGAGCCACTTCTGTTAGCCTGTGTCTAGAACCACCAATGGGCTGCAGGTCTGTGACTGAGGAATTTTGTTAGCATGTATTCCATCATTCTTATGGCTTGATAGGAAGTCAGGTTATCCAAACTGGCAAAACACATTAATAAAACAGTGAAAGAATATTGACCTTAAAACACATTATTTATAAAACATAACAATATTTTCCCTAACAAACGTTTTTAATGTTAAAAAAATAAACTGTTTCTTTTCACAATATTTAAATAAATAAATATTGTGAAGAAAATATATATCATACATATATATTTGTATGATTTGTTTTTAAATTGCCATTTATATTATTTTTCGGTCTCAGGAAATCATGGAGGGATCAAGGGCGATTCTAGGATCTGACCTTTAGGGGTGCTTAGCCCCTAGCATGGCTAAGGCCCAAGAGAAGATATTCATTGATGCATTTTTTTAAATGTCACTGCTTATTTACATACATTCAGATAAATGGTTTTGTCCAACTAAAACTGTTAACGTGAGGGGATTTGAATTTATCTGCGTGTTTATTTTAGGTTCTGTTTCTAGTGAGTCTCCGTTCTGTCCTGTTGACCCCCTTGATTGTTTCCAGGTGTGTCTCGTTCCCTGATTACCCTCTGTGTATTTAATGTCACCTGTGTTTCTGTGTCTTTGTCGGGTCCTTGTCTAGTTGTGTTCGTTCTGTTTGGCTGCCTGTTTCGTCAGAGTTTTTTTCCAGTTGCTACCAGAAGTGAACCTAGCCTTCGTTCTCTCTGTGCTGCCTGGGTTTTTGGACTTTGTACTGCCTATTCCTCATTAAATTCATAATTTTTCTCCACACCAACCTGGGTCCTCAGCGTCTCCTCACCACATCGCACTGCAAATCATGACAACATCTACAGCTCTGGAAAGAATGAAAAGACCACTGCACTGAACCCCATTGAAAATGTCATGGTTATTCCACAAAATATTGATTTCTGAACTCTTCCTGAGTTAAAACATTAGTATTGTTTCTAAATGAATATGAACTTGTTTTCTTTGCATTAGTTGAGGTCTGAAAGCATTGCATCTTTTTCATAATTTTGATCATTTCTCATTTTCTGGAAATAAATGCTATATTTTTGCTTGGAATTTGGGAGACATGTCAGTAGAATAAAAGGACAATGTTCATTATACTCAAACATATACATATAAAGAGTAAAATAAGAGAACTGATAATTTTGCAAAGATCTCTTAATTTTTTCTAGAGCTGTATATACTCAGTTGAAACAGAATCTCAAGACCACATCATACCTGCCAATATATTTTAACATTAATGAGACAAGAAGCTGTGGAGTGACACAGTCCCAGAGGGGTCTGGGTCATGCTCCTCTGGAAACTAAGATAAAATCTACTCAAAGCTATACATTTCCAGTCATTTGAAGAACATTTTACTAAATTCAAAGGATTAATAAACATAAAACCAGTTTATTATCAAGGTTTCCTAAGTATTTGAAAATCATACTTAGAAATTGAATTACCCTTATTTTTATCTGAACAATATGTTCAGATAAAAACATGAAGGATGTTTAAAAAAAAGAAAAAAAAAGAAAACATTCTTGCTTTTTTCTTTAAACAAAAATGTATGTCAATTTATGGAAAAGTAGACATGAGTCAGGGTTTGTTATTTCAGTTCACAATTCATGAAGTGAATAAAACTCTTTTCTATTCACAGACAAAGAACCAGCCTAACCCTAACATTCTGTACTCTTCTTTAGTTTTACCTTATTTAAGTGACTCCAGAGAGGTTTGGGTAATTACAAAACAACACAGCAATCACTAATCAAACTTAAAAAAAGTTAACCTCCCATCAAACACTACTGGACACAGAACCATCAAGAGACTCTAAACACGCTTATTGACAAACTCACTGAATCTCCCATCCTTGGGTATCCCGACCTCACCCAACCATTTATTCTGTATGTTGATGCTTCCCAGGAAGGGTTGGGAGCAGTTCTATATCAGAGATAGTATAACAAAATGGTTGCCATTGGGTACGGATCTAGAACACTGACCCCACCTGAGAAAAATTATCTCATGCATTCAGGAAAATTGGAATTCCTAGCACTTAAGTGGGCAATATGTGAAAGATTCAGAGATTATCTGTATCATGCACCTCACTTCACTGTTTATACAGATAATAACCCCCTGACCTACATTCTCACCACAGCCAAGTTAAACGCCACAGATCACAGGTGGGTTGCCCAACTTGCAGATTTCAATTTCAACATTAAATATCAACCATGCAAACACAATACAGATGCAGATGGCCTCTCTCGCATGCCACTGGACATAAATGACTTATTGCAGCAATGTACAGAGGAGGTGACTCAGGATGTGATTAGTGAGTCAATTTAGGGAGTGACTGTGCTTCAAGATGTCCCATCTGTCTGAATAACCACAGCTCACATCAACACACTGGACTTAGCAAGTGATCCATCTTCACTTACATTGCCTGCCCCAATAACACCAGGACAGATCAGAGAAAGTCAAAAGAAAGACCCTCTCATTGAGCGAGTCATGTATGAAAAAAGCCAATATCAATTCCCCCCAGAGGACTGGTGAAAACCGAGCCTGCAGATGTTAGGGTGCTCTTGAGGCAGTGGTAAAAAGTGTATATCAGCAATGATGGGATCTTATACAGAAATGCAGGACATAATTCTTGGCTAGTTTTGCCAAAAGATCATCATCTGTTAGTGTTTCAAGAATTACACAAAGAGATGGGTCATCTGGGGGTCGAAAGGACTCTGAATCTGATTCGAGATGGGTTTTATTGGGTCAGAATGCAGCAGGACACAGACCATTTTGTGACCCAAGTGTGTGAGGGTCTAAAGTCAAAACAACCACAGAGAGCAGCCAGAGCACCACTGATGCCAATTGTGTCAACACGTCCATTCGAACTGGTTTCAGTTGATTTTCTGCATGTAGAAGCCTGAAAGCAAGGTTGTGAGTATATTCTGCTATAATGGATCACTACACTCGCTTTGCACAGGCCTACCCCACAAAAAACAAATCTGCAAAAACAGTTGTGGAAAAACAATTTGATGACTTTGCCCTTCGCTTTGGCTTCCCAGAGAAAATCCACCACGATATGGGGAAGGAATTTGAAAACCAGTTGCTGGCTCAATTGCAGAGGTGTTGTCATGTGCGAGGGTCTCACACTACCTGCTACCACCCACAAGGTAATGGACAGTGGAGCGATTTAACAGAACCCTGCTGTCTATGCTCCATACGCTCACAAGTGTGCAAAAAGCTGACTGGAAAAAGTTATGTAAAATGGTGCACGCATATAACTGAACCCGCAGTGACACCACAGGCTTTGCTCCGTATTATCTGCTCTATGGACGATCCCCACGTCTGCCGATGGATCTCCTGGTTAACATACAGCCGAATGAAACACAGCAAAGCTATGCTGAGTATGTTAAAGATTGGCAAAGCAGAATGCAGCAGGCCTACGAGATCGCAACCAAAAACCCCACCCGTTAATCAAACAGAGGGAAAAAAAAGGATATTACAAAAGAGGTTGTGGAGCTGACGTGCGGCCTGGGGGGCGTGTGCTTGAACACAACTTATCAGAGAGAGGAGGTCCTGGTAAGCTCAGATCCTTTTGAGAGGATAAAGTTCACATCATCACAAAGAGAAGAAGTGATATCAGCCCAGAGTATGAAGTAGTACCAGAAGGAGGTGGCAAAAGTCATGTGCTGCATTGGAACCTCCTGCTCCCCTGTGACAGTCTGCCAATCGACAACCCAGAAATAGACTCAAAAGTGGCAAAAAGGACTAAAAAGACTAAGTCAAATACATCTCCATGTTATCTTTGTCAACGAGAGAAAACTTCAGACAGTTACAGGGATGAGGAAATTAAGCTAGTGTGCTGGTTCTGTCCTGCTCAGCACAGTGGTTACTGGTCAGCTTAAACCCAGATGCTGAACCATTTACACCAGTCCTGTCTGACCAAGAAAACACACCAGAAGTGAATGACCAAGAAAACACACCAGAAGTGAATGAACCTTGGACTAATTGAATGGACAACATACCAGAGCAAGAAAATGGAGGCCAAGATACGGAGCTACACCTGGATCTTTCTGAACCATCTGCAGAAATACCTTCTGAGGAAGAAGAGGATCCAGCTGTACCACCATCTGCATCCAGCTACCCAAAGAGAGAATGTCACCGCCTGAGGATGCTGACCTATTGTGCTCTTGGTAAGTCAACTATGGAGGAAGTAGGTGTTAAAGAACTACCTGTGAGTATGATCCCAACCGGAAAAGAACTTTGGTGACCATGGGTAGTTCTAGGTGTTGAAGAACAGAGTTAAAGACACAGTGTATAAAGGTTCAAGAACTGCATTCAAAAGAAAAAGACTATGAACTCTCCAAAGACAATGTATTGACTGTGCTTTCGAGACAAAAGACTGGTATCAGAACAAAAGAACTGTGGCTGAAATTAAAGTTCTGTTACACTAGAGAGACGATCTGAACAGAACTGGAATTAAATGTAACTTGAAATTTGTAATCTAAAGTGACAATATCCTCTGTTAGTGGTGGACACTATTACCTTAATATGAGGGTAATGAATGTCATGTTAGGTAGATTACTTATAACATTACTTTCAGTAAAAGGGTCATAGGTGATGTTAAATGCTTTAAATGTCATAGGACATTGTAAATTAATACTGTTTTTTGTTTATTAATACTGTTTTGTGTGTGTGTGTGTGTGCGTGCGTGTGTGTTTTACAACTAGTAAGTTGTGTTGCAGTTTGACGTGGTTGCGGAGGGGATCAGTATCACTCTGTCGCTGCTATGAGACGACGGTTGTGGAACAAATGTTTCTAACGGCTGTGTAGCGATACTGCTAACTGAGTTACTTTGTAACAATTATTAAATTAAAATGTTGCAGACTCAATGACAACATCTCGCTTAATTGTTTGCCACAGTTACATTTTGCCACTTGAAATTACCCATTGCAGAAAAATCGCTAAGCATAATACTTTGCTGTGGAAACTGTTATCTGAATAAAGGTACTGATGATACAAGTTTGCCCCCCATATGACTGGGTAAAAAAATATATAACCGTCTTTGCTGGTTTTTTTTTTTTTTTTTTTTTTCTTTTGGAGGCTGGTTCTAGACCAAATTTTCCATGGGACCAGTGTAGTCAGCGTTTTTTACAGGGACATTTGAAAAAGAATCAAACAAAAAACAGAACAATATTTCATCATTTGATATAGTAAGTGAGCCAAAGAGCCACTTGTGTCTCCAGAAATTCAGGTTGCTGATCCTGATCTAGCAGATGGAAAATGTGATACTATCTCTATACAGCAGCTAAAAGTGCAGCACTAATTTTTAATTCATTGTTAAAGTAAAATTATGATGTTTAAAAAAATCACATCACTGAATATTAACAAAATATATTTATTAGTTCCCATGTTCACATGTTGCCCCCCTCTAGAACCGCCCATGGACCGCAGGTCTGGATCTGAAGCATTTTTGGTTAGCATGTTTTTTCTTCGTTGATAGGAAGTCAAGTTATCCAAACTGGTAAATCACATTAATAAAATAATAGTGAAATAATACATTAAACGAACACTGACTATTGTATTCATACAATATATCAACATTTCTGAATCAAAAAAACACAGAAAGCCATAACAAACTCTTTTGATGTAGAAAATATTTATATACGTACTATTAATCTATTAGTATGATTTGTTCTTTAAATGGCCATTTACATTACTTTAGCTAATACTATTATATATTAAATAAAGTATCATCCTCTAAACTCAGCATCCTAAGCAAGTAGTCAATCCATAATAGTCTACTAAAAGCACAATAAGAAACTGAATCAAAAATGTTCAGTACCAAATCAGCCTCAGGACATCATTGAGTGATGAAGAGACCTGATGTCTGGTTCTTTAGGTTCTGGCGGGTCTGCAGTGTTCCTCTCCTGATCCATTCTGTCTGATATCACACAACCCACTGTGCACCACTGAATATCGCCGACTCATTTTTTTAAAAATGCCCCTATTCAACGTCACTGAAATTGTTTAGCCTGAAATGTGCGTCTTCCCACTTATGTCTGTATTTTTGCCAGATGTTTTGCTTCTAAGGACTGTGGCGTATAGGGTAGACATTTTAAAAAGACACGGGTTGATAGCAGCTCACCGCGGCTGCGTACTGTCCTCTCTAGGTAACTGTGACAGCACTGTCAGTCTGTAGGGGTGGGGAGTCCTATTTAGGTTCCGCCACGACAATTTAGCTGACCTAAATATTTCCTGTGTTTTGTTTTGGTCATTATTATCACACTTGCGTATTGTTGAGATGTGTGACAGGTGTGTCTATCAGAGATTTATAAAAATACGGAATAAATCACGTCCCGTGTTGATTCAATACAGGGCGAAGACAACAACAACCACCTGTAATTTTAGGCTAGCTTTAACTAACCTAATATTTACAACCCCCAAGTTGATACACTGATATTACTTACCTACTGTCTTTCAACCACTTTGAAAAGCTTTTCTTCATCTCCCCAACAACTATATCCCTCCCCTTTTCCGTTTTCTGTTTTGCGCCCCGAAGTGTTTTGTCTGCCACCCCATCTTTTTCTCCCTGTTGTCAAGTGCACTACTACTGTTCAAATTTGAAAGAAAGAAAAAAAATGCACCCCAGGCATCAACTTCTTTGGGGGCAAAATGAATGTACGTAGCTGAAAATAGACACCAACATCGGTAGCCTACAAGGTACTTGTTAAGCTTAAGGTTCTGTATTGATATTAGCTAGTCATCTTTTAGCTAACTTTACCTGCATCCAGCAGCTTTACTCAACTCAGTCGGTTAGTTTGGAGGGAAAAACTGTGAAAAGTTCTTTGCGTTTTGCTGGTTTGCTGCCGTGATTCTAACACAAACCTACGTAGCTCCGCCCAGCAGCAGCAGGTCTCCTTCACGGGTGTAAACCCAGCGCGAGCGTCGTAGCGCTCATGTTGCGTTTAAAGGCGGCTCGGAAAACAGGTTACCACATGTTAACAATGGATTAAACAGTTTTAACTGCTGATAAAAGTGACAGAGGACAAAGATATGGGAAGTGTGGAAGCCTCTACTGTATCAAATTGACATAGGAATAAGAGAGTTGGCCATTCTAAGGTAAAAACCCAGCGCATACAGTGTTCATGTTTTTTTCTTCATCCTGACGGCTTGCCGCGCCCCCCCTGCGATGAAACGGCGCCCCCCCTAGGGGGCACGCCCCACAGTTTGGGAACCTCTGTGCTAGTGGTTGTTAGTAGTTGTGACTTGGAGCATGGTTCCAACAAGTCACTTTATTTTCCAAACCATGTTCTGAATTCCACTGAATTACTCTTAAATATTTTTTACCAAAAGCTTTTGGTAAAAGTTCTGATGACTCACCTTGCATACCCTTTGCAGTGTGTTAATTTTCCTTGTGATTGATGACATACACTCACAGAAGCTGGACTGAAAGAGAATGCAGAAAACTCTGCTGGAGAAGTCTGGTATCAGGGAGAGCTGGTAGAGAAATCTGGAACAAACCAAATGAGATAGCAGGCATTTGTAAGATTGCTTCTGCCAGCACAGGATTGCAGATGTGCATTTTAATTAAAACAACTCTGGAATGTCTGTCAATTGTTAAAAATTTTATAAATATATTTTCATATCATTTTCATGTTTCAGTAAAAGTCATAACTAAATACAACAATTAGCCATCTAGCCATGGCTAGTCATAATAAAGACTAGTCAACAATGCACTTTTTCCTCATAAACAGTGCACACATGTGCAGAGGAAAGAACATAATTCAAGTTCAAGGAACAATTTAACCCAGTAATTAAACTTCAGTTGGTGGGAGAAGTACTCACTGTTCAGGTTTATCCAGAGGCTTAGCATTCTCTTTGTCTTTAGAGGACTTTATGTGCTTTTCGATTTTGTCCAGTTCCTCCTGTTGTGCTCTCTGTGGGAAAAATACAAGATTCTATGCACAATATGGAGTAATCATTGTAACAGCAAAAATATGTATTTAGTGTTTTGTTCCTGTTCCACTGCAGCAATAACCATGCAAGAAAACAGTCCATAAAAACTAGAAGAAAGAAAAACAAAATTAGAAGAATACATTTTATGTTTTATTGATGTCCTTAGAAATTGTAATGTTATAGTGAAAGTGCACTCACCTTAAATTAGTTTTATTTTATTTTATTTTTAAATCCACGTCTAAGGTTTTTGCAATTTGCTTTCTTTAAAACTTTAATTACACTTTTTTTTAATATATAAAGACATGGTAGAATCTCTTGTGTATGAGTTCATTTTTTTCCCTTTCTCTTTGATGTTGTTATGACTAGCATCGTAACAATATAATTATGGTTAATGGTTATGGTTAGCAAGCAGAAATATAGCAAGCAGAAAAGGGAGAAGCAAAGAAAGACAAAGCAAAATATCTATTTTTCTTGACAAGAACGCATGTTTAGGGGAAATGAAAAATAAAATATATACATTACTTGACGGAAAACACATGTGTAAGGAAAAGGAAAAACTAAATATATACTGTATTTATGATTTTATGTCTTATCAAAATATATACTTATGCTTTTATTTATTCCTTTATTTATATATTTATTCTTTTATTTATATATTTATTATTTTATTTCTTATTATGTCAGTTTTGGTCCTCCAAAAATATATTTATGCTTTAATTTCTTATCAAAATATACATTTATTCTTTTATTTATATATTTATTCTTTTATTTCTTATTATGTCGGTTTTGGTCCTCCATATATATATACGACGAACATTATAGAGCGACAAAAAGCACAAAAGGAGTATTGATCTACAAAATAATTAACAATGTAATAGAACAAATAACAGCAATAGAGATCAAATAACCAAACAAAAAGAACAAACAAAACAAACAAACAAGTATGTATATGTAACCCAGCCGTGTCAGATGACACCTCGCTGTTCCTTGTTTTCTTTAAAGGTTTTTTGTCGGAAGGAAACTTGAGGCAGGAATCGGACACACACGGCGGTTGACATCTTGGTTCAGATCGTTTATTCGGACCAGCCGACAGCGCAGCGGCTTCGCCTTCAGAATTCACAGCAAATACTGCTGTCAACATAAGTCTCGTAACGCTATTATTATTATTATTATTATTATTATTATTTTGTTTACAGATACAACAAACATACAACATAAAAAAATAAGAAAAAGACAAAACGATACAAAACTAACTACTTGTATATTAAAAGTATCATTTGGCTACAGTGAGGAGCTGGCGGTCAGTATTGCTTACCTTCAGAATTCACAGCAAATACTGACCGTTGAGCTGCCAGCGCACAGTAACAGACGCCAAGTACGGCGTCCTTCAATGAACACACTTTATCAACTTCCACAACCCAAAGAACAAATTTAACATTTTGGTGACATACGCTGACATATTTAAAGCAGGACATGTCACCAAAATGTCCTTCATATACATTAAAAAAGATACATTCAAAACAAAAACAAAACATAGATCTTTTTCCCATTTAGTGATCGGAATTTGAGGCGCATTATTGCTTGAAGATTTTAGTTTATATAGTTTGGAGAGTGTTTTTGGAGAATTTGCGATTTTATTGATACTATCGAGTAAGGATGGTTGTCCTATCAGGGGTGTCAAACTCCAGTCCTCAAGGGCCGCTGTCCTGCAGTGTTTAGATGTGCCACAAGTAAAAAACAGTGGAATGAAATGGCTTAATTACCTCCTCCCTGTGTAGATCGGTTCTCCTGAGCCTTGCTAATGACCTAATTATTCTTTTCAGGTGTGGTGCAGCAGAGGCACATCTAAAAGTTGCAGGACAGAGGCCCTTGAGGACTGGAGTTTGACACCCCTAGGTGAAAGTTATTGATGTCTATTTTTGATTTGATGGCTGGTTTTAATTGATTATATTGAAGAAATGTATGTATTCTTAAGATATACTTACTTTGTAAATGTCAAATCAGTATTAAGGAAGCTAAAAACAAATATTTGATGCCTTGTGAGGGAAATATTCAACTGTAGCTCCTTACATTTCAAAAAATGTGGCCATTGCAAATAGTTGATGTAGGAAGAGTAAAAAGTCTAAAATCAACTTGACAACTTAGTTGTGTTTTTGGAGGCTGAAGTCTTTAAACGTCACAGCTCTGCATTAGTAGGCCCTCACTTAATCAAGGGATTCAACATTTTAAAAAATGACAATTTTCACTAGAAAATGACAAAAATCATTTGTCATGATTTTTAAAAATTGTCATTTTTTAAAATGACAATTTTAGGAATTTCCTTTATAAGCAAATTCCTAGGACAGAAAATACATCTCAGATGAAAGGGTGTACACAAGCAGCTTAAAAAACAAACAAACCTGATTCTAAGCTAGATTTATTGATAAAATCGTGAAGGCTTTTAGAGCCAGTGATTGGGATGACAAGCAACATAACCTGAATGGAGGAAATTTCTGTTAGCAACTTACATTTTCATAAAGTGCTTGCAGGGTCTCTGTGTCCACTACATTGTTGTCCAAGTTCAAGACGGCTAGAAAACAAAAAGAAAAGTCACTGCTCACAGCTGTTTTCACAGGACAATCCATTCTAAAGAAACTTCATCCCAAGATAGTATAGGATATTTTCCAATATTCTCTTTGATAATATTGAGCACATCAATTGTGTCAATATGGTAGTTACAAATTAAAAAGCTTCTAAATATGTAATTTATAATTCTAGTTACTTTCAAGTGTTTAAAGGAATACCAACCATATCATTTAGTATTGCCGTCACATTACAATCTAAATTTAAGGTGTTTTGGTTACATATCTTAAAATGTCAATCACAGGTGATTATGATTTGTATTGACAACATTTGAAAACAGAAAATCAGGTGCTTAGTTTGGAGTCAGTTATTTAAAACTATTAGATAGGAGTAACAAACAGCAGCTGACATAATATATCGGAAATTAATGTCCCATTAAAAATCCACATAATATTTTTATATATTTGCTCCTTTAAATAAAAAGTGTTTGAGACCAATATGCTCTCATTTCCTTTGTGATGAGCAGAACTTTGTTTTTGCTCGAGTAGTCTAATTTCTTGTACTTTTTCCACCTCGCTGGTATGTATAAACATTGATAAACAATTTTATCTCATAGCATCTGCAGTTACTTTTTATCTACTGCATCACTGTCTTTTAATTTAAACAAATTAGTTATTGCTTTCTGCACTTTTATCAAGCTTTGATTTCGCTTAAATTAAAAATTCACTGTCCCGTGGTGTTTTCTCACTTTTTAAATTGAAGTCTATAAATGATAAGCAATTTATTGTTCGTCCTGTCCCAGTGCAAGCAGCATTTTCTAATGTCTGTGAATAACTTGTGTAAAATATCCCTGTCCATAAATAAAATGCACTAATTTGATCATCAAGCAGCGTCTTTTGGAAGAAGATGTGAGTAGATTTCACGATAGTGCTTGGGAGTATCATGAAATCTACGGTTATAAGTTATTAAGCAGGGTTTTTGACTGAGTAAACACATCTCCGTGTCATAGAACGGCTAATATCTTGGATCTCAGTAACTTTTATTCTGACAGACACTTTAAAATCAGGCTGAATCCATTTCAGAAAAATTTGACAATGAGTCCACAATAGTGTGCCTAATTGGCAGCCCAGGCGAAAGCCTCCACATGGCAGCAGCTCCCTGGGTGGAAGTATACATTACATCCAGGGGCACCACCAGGAATCTTGGGGCCCAAAAATTGGATCCCTAACCCTAACCCTTTTTTTATTTCTATGAACAAAAAACATAATTTGTGGGGGACCCCCTGTCGGTCAGGTGCCCTTAGAATTGTCCTAATTTTTCCGCCTCTGATTACATCCAAATTAATTTAATTTTCTTTTTCAAATTCAATTTTATTATTTTCCAGATTTAGTTTGAATTTTTCAGCCTAATGACCGCTGGAGATTGAGACACCTGTACGCTTTACCCTGTAGTGTGTTTAGATACTGGCAGTATGAATGTCTTCATTTTTCATAATTCATGTATTACAGTTGTTAAAGATTTTTTGTGTTATCATTTTTATTATTACTTTAGTTCATTATTCAGTCTAATGTTAATCAGTAGTGACGTGATGTGCTAAAACTTTTTGATTGCTGTGTTGAATATCTGTGTTCCTGTGAACTGATTGTTCCCTTCACCCTTGGAAGAAATGGCTCTCAAGGGAAAGGGCTTGATGACTTGAGTGTTTGTTAGAGCTGGCATCTGTTTTATTGTTTATCTTTTCTGACTATTGTTTTCCCAAATAAAAGGCTCTAGCAGAGAGAAAACAGAACGCTCTGTGAACGACTTGGAGGAGCAGTTTACTGAGTCTTCTCCTTTTGCAAAAGTTTCAGCCATAAAATTCATATACGTTGTCTGTGGTTCTTTTATGTAGGTTCACGGAAAATGCCTATCATTTTGGGGCCAAAACCCGGGATCTCTCATACCCGTTCGCTGACAGACAAAGAACGACACGCTGAAAACCATGCATGGCCAGAGTCAACAGGACTTGGAAACAAAGACCCGGGAGGTAAAATTCTTCGCTGGGCCAGAGACATAGGTCCGACTTTGTCTGCCAACGGCGGATTGACAAGATCCAACCGGACAACACGAAAACGACAGAAACATAAGTGAATTTTAAGAGTTATATCTAGAGGTTAGAGTCCTTGTCAAATGGCGTTTTGACTAAAGTCCGAAAGGTTAGAGTCCCAGTTGACAGCGTCTCAACTAAAGTTCTACAGAAGGAAAGGTTTCTAGACCCTCTTTTTATTCGAGGAGACCCCATAAGGGCAGATCCTCATGCGGATAGGAAGTGTCATTGCTGTTTTGTTGATGTGTGTGCATGAAAGAGTCATTAGTGCTCTTCTCTCCAGCATTTTCTCTGAGAGAGCACGTAATATCAAAACATTTCAAGCTAAAATTACATAGTGCTAAAATTATGGGAAGGTTGTGGTGTTCTTATTCTTTTTCTCGCCTAAAGAAAGAAAGTAATTGTTTAAGGGAAATAATGGGTGGTTTTGTTTTTGTTTTGTTCTTTAGCTTTTCTACACTTTCAAAGAAAAAACAGTTGAGAGACATCTCACCGAAATAAAAAAAACCCCAACAAAACATGGGAACAACCTTTTTGTATGCTCCAAGTGGAATTATGACTTTCCTGAATGAGGAGAAGCTGAAAGATAAAACTAAATAATAAAATTCTCCTCAGAGAACAATGTTTAATGTATTGCGTCGTAATTAGATTATAACACCAACTTGGTGAAATGATCCTTTAGCTGTATATCTGGAGGGGTCAGAGGTCAGAGTAAGGTACGGACCTGGACATTATCCAGCCTCATGTCTCTCTTAGGCCTTGAGAGGAGGGCTGCCTGCTGGCTTCACAGTCTGCAGCACTGAGATCAACACATTTAGAGAAATCCATTGTTCTCTGGTGAGACGTGACTCATACTAAGTTAACATAAACTTACATTCTACATTTTAAAGGTTAATATTGTACAGGTTAAAAGGGACTACAGCTTTTAACATGTTTCATGTTTATATGTGTTTGAATAAAAAAAGGATTTATGAGTTCTTAAAAGGTTGGGTAATAAGTGGCTAAACACTATACGATCACAAGAGAAAAGTTATATGGAAAATGTTTGTAAAGAGAAAAAAGAAAAAAAGACACAGAAAGCCGAACAAACCCTAATGGACTCTTATTTGCTTCTTTCCTTTTCCTCTGTTTGAGCCTTGCTGCGGTGAGTCTGACCTCCGACCTCAACTCAGACCTGTCCTGCCGATCAGATGACGCCCCCTCCCTCATCACCAGCCAATGACACTAATAACGATTCCATTTGAAAACCTCACTTAAAAAAGGTGAAGGAAGACAAAGCTTAATTGTACACATTGCATGAGCACATTTACAGTTTGATTTTGTTGAACAAACCCTAAACCCTGAACAAAAGTGTTTGTCCTCAAAGCTCACTGCCCTGCATGTTTTATGTTTCCTTGCTTCAGCTCAGCTGATTTCAATTAATGGGCGAATAACAGGCATGTGTTGAACTTCAATCAGTTAAATCAGGTACTTTAAAGCAAGGAAACATTTAAAACATGCAGGCCAGTGTGCCTTGAGGACCGGGATTGGGAAACATTGATCTATGGCATCACTTGGTAGAAGTTTTTCCAAAGCCACATTCAGTCTAGAAAATCCATGTGTGGAAGAATCATGACATTTGCCCCTTGATGTTCTGGCATGGGAATAAAATCTGAATGGTGATTGGTTTATGCTGTGGACGGTAGCCCTGACCAGTCATCAGTCAAAAGGATGTCTTACAAAGTCACAGTGCTTCAGTTTTGAAAAATCACAGCCAAAGCTGTCTACACGGACACTTGATTTAGTCTTAGTTTTATAAAGTCATCTATGCAATCACAATTCCATTTTCAGATATTATTTTTGTATAGCACAAGTGCCCAGGTGAACGTGGACAACAAAAATAAAAAGGTACAATGCTGAGCACAGTTAATTCAGTTTCTCTGCTCACCATGCTGTATATCTTTCATGTCGAGGTGCAAGGAAGACATGAGAATCCCAACAGCCTGAGAGCGCTTGTTGTTCAGCAGCTTTACAACCTAAAAAAAAACCCCAAAGTCAGTAACAAGTTGTAACAGATACAAGTGCATTCAGGAAAAATTCACAGCGTTTCACTTTTTCCACATTTTGTCATGTCTACAGCCTTATTCCAAATAGTATTAAATTAATCTCTTTCTTCAAAATCCCCCATTATGACAACGTGGACAGATGTTTTTGAGTACTTTGCTAATTTATTAAAAACAGAAAACTGGGGTATGGGTGAGGGCACATGTAATCGGTGGCAAACTCCCTGCAAAGAGTTTGCAGGGAATTTGCCCTGCGATTGTGGAGTGATCCTCTTTTTCTCCTTGGTTAGAAGAGCCTTTAGCACAATGCAGCACCCTTTCCTCTCTCAGAGAAATGAAGCTGTGGCTACAATTCAGTTGCTTGCCATCATTAGCATGTAAATGGAAATGACTCATTTCATTGAAAAGGTTCTTTGAGTGTCCTGAAAAGCACTATATGAGTCTGTCACGTCATTTAGCCCTTGTGCGTGCGAGGGCTGAGGCAAACATAGAGGACTATGGCAAATGATACAAGTTTTACGTGTGTGGCGTCGGTTGGACCCCATTTCTACATACAAGGGTTAAATAAATGCAACTAGTGCTACAAAAACCTTTAAAAAAACAAAACAAGAAATAACATTTTTACATAAGTATTCATAACCTTTCAGCCATGAGCTCAAAACTGAGCTGTTTCCACTGATGACCCTTGAGATGTTTCCACAACTTAAATTCGGTACATTTAGTTTACATAACTTGCTTTCAAAAGGCACATACCTGTCCATATAAGGTCCAACAATTGACAGTGTAGGTCAAAGGTCAAACACCAAGAATCAAATCAAAGGAACTGCCTGACGACTTCCAAGACAGGATTGTCTTGAGGCAGAAATCTGGGGAAGGACCCAGAAAAATGTCTGGTGTTTTGAATAGCGCACTGAGTTCAGCGGCCTCCATCATTGGTAGATGGAAGAAGGTTGGGACCAGTAGGATTCTTCATAGAGCAGTTTAGACTGCTATCCGGGAGAGGGGAGAAGGGCCTTAGTCACAGAGGTGATCATGAACTCAATGGTCACTCTGCGAGGTACTGCGTTCTGTAGAGAGAGTAGAACCTTCCAGGAAGACAACCATTTCTCCAGTGATCCACTGATCAAGTCTCTATGATAGAATGCCCATATGAAAGCCACTCCTTATTAAAAGGAACCAAAAGGAACCTGAAGGACTTTGAGCATGATTTTTTTTTTTCAAGGACCAGTATTGAAGTTGTTCATGTGAGTCCTTAGAGTTGGTTTGTAGAAAACCAGGCACAGCTCATAACCATAACCTACATTGAACCATGGTGGTGGCAGCGTCGTGTTCTGGGGATGTTTTGCAGCATTGTAAGGCTGCCACTGGCAGGTGCCACTACTTTCTATGTGAGTGGGGAAAAAGTAACATTTTATTATAATGGGGAAAACTGTGACGAATCAGGATGGAATCATGGCAGAGCTGTATGGTTTTTTTAAAAAAAGAAAAAGAATAATAAACAAGTAGTACACATACATAATGTGTGAAATCCAGTCTTTATCAAAAAATTACAGGAGCCTTCTTTTGCTAGGTTAAGAGAAAATCCTGTTTGGAAGTATCAGGATTTTTAACCACCTTATGAAGTGGTTAAAAAACCCCAGAGGTTTTAATTTAAGTTACTTATCCCATCATCTTTCTTTCCAAAAAGAAAACACAACATTGGTCCCTTCCAATTCATCACATTGATTTTGGTACAACAAAGCACCTCTGACCAGAACATATATGTTTAGGACATGGGTTGGCTTGGTTTGGTATAGAGGTAGAAATGTCAGCACAAGGTTCAATGGCACATTTAAAGGCTGGCACTTTTCCATTGTTTAGCAAAACCACAGATGATTTTATTATCTATTTGGCATAGCTTTCTTTTCCATCCCCTGGTGAATCACCAGTCATGCTGTTGGTATCGACAGACAGACAGACAGACATGGATATCTGTTGGTATCTATAGAAGTGGCAGCATCAGCAGGGCAATTAGAGAGGCTAGAATATTGCCACGACATTCTTCTATTCAATCACTTTGCAAGATGTTCAAATTCATGACTGAATTTACAATTTTTACACTTTTGGTCTTTGATATAGTCTTTCAATATACTGAAGACATTTTCAAACTTTGCATCTTAAATATTGCATTTATTTTGTATAATTGGCTCTGTCCTGGTTTTGCTTTTAGCTTTGTTAGACTGATTGATGGTAAGCAGAATCTAACCAGTCAACAGGGACCACTGCCCTGTATATTTTAGGTGTTTCCCTTCTTCTGCCACACAAGTAGACTGAATAAGTCAGTGATTAACAAGCTTCTGCAGCACTTGATGGCTGCAGAGGAAGTCATGTAATCATTTGAATCAGCTGTTCTGCAACAGAGACATCTAAAACATGAAGAAGTGTTAATCATGTCTCTTTAAAATATACAAATATAAAGAAAAAAATTGTGAACTTCAGTGACTTTATCTCTTAGAAACTTTAATAATTTATTTATTCAATTGTTGCCAATTTTGAAAGTATATTAATTCTTTATGATTTTGCTTTGTATAATATACAAGATATTAAACATTCTTAATACACAGACCTGTTTTGCCTTGGATTTTGTTATGGTGTCAGAGAGTGGCTGCTTTTTTTCTTTAACTGCTGTTTTCGAAAACAGTGCCACAAACTCGTCAAAGTCCACATCAGGTTCCTCAACCGACTCCCACACAAGTGAAGAAGGAATGTCCCTGAAAAACACAAAAGGGCTCAAGAGTTTCATGTAACAAACCAAAACTTTAAGAACTAAATAGAAAAACTATTTTCTTGATTGTATATAGCTTAAATCATGCCAATCTATCCACAGGCCAAAATACCCTTGGCAGACATAAGTTTAAAGTAATCTTTCTTCTGTCAATAGAAAATCAGGCTACAGAGGGTCTGGGCTCTCGACTGTTGAGAAACCATTATTCTCTGGAGGTGTGGACTCTATTGATGTTTTAACTTTTATCCTGTTGCGGATGCTTGCATGTGACGTATGTACTGTACAAGTTTGATACTAAGAAGCTTACTGGAGCTCACCTGCGCTGTAAACAACCATCCTCCACTGCAAAAAGAGAAGTGTTGAGCTGAACAAGGCAGCTGCTAATCTTAATTCAATATTTGGAAGCATGAGCAACATCAAAGAGTGAACAATTTAGTTCACTTCCTCCACTGCCATTGATAAAACTAGAGGCAGACTACAATTCTAAAGTGGCACAAAAAACCAGTTTCATTGTTTACAACTTCTTCTGTTCACTGATTGGCCCTGTGAAAAATTGACTGGAGATTATCTGAGTCCAGGGGAGCAAATCTAGACTTTACTTTGAATGAAATTGAACAGAATTTACAAATTGAACTGAGATTTATATTAAAATTAAATGTTCCGATTTTTAGTAAGAATAAACCAATTTCACAGTAGATATTTCATAGCAGTTTAAAAAAAGTGCATGCACAATTCTAGGATTGCACTATAAATGGCAAATTTGGTCATAATTTCTGTGTGCAATATTACTATTATAAAAGATAGTAAAAGAATGCATTAATTGTTGGTAATTCCAAGTGTCTCTAGTTCTTTGTTTATATCCCAGCATCATATTTGGGTAGACTTGTTAGATAGACTATGTCTGTGTGAGAATCTACAGCAGATAAATAGAGGACTGCAGTATATTCCTACCTGATACATATGGTACCTGATAGAAGGCTGGAAGTAGTGATCATAAAGAGAGAAAGGAAAAAGTGGATTTATCACAACTGATGTCATTGCAATATTTACCAGTTATCATTGGTGAATCTTGTGTGGGAGTCAACATCACATGATTTCTAGGAACGATGGTGGCAACAGTGGTAGGAGTTTGTCCTGCAACTGGTGGGTTGCCGATTTGATTCCTTCTCTATCTACCTGTGTCGTTGTATCCTTGGGCAAGACACTTCACCTGCCTTGCCTGCTGGTGGTAGTCAGAGAGCCTGGTGCTCTGTCAAACTGCCCCAGGGACGATGTGGCTACTATCCAGTAGTTTGTGAATTCAGTGTGTGAATAATATAGTATGAAGTGTGAAGCACAAATCAGAACTCCCTGCAGTTTGCTTATCACCATGGAGTTGAAGACACCAATGTGAGGACCATGTTCTTTTATTTCTTCCATGCATAAACACAATTCTGCCTGATTTGGTTTGTCAGTAACTCCAGAAGACTGATGGAGGCCTCGACAATCACCTGGATCTATGACTACCTTACAAACAGACCACAGTTTGTGAGACTGAAAGACTGTGTGTCTAACCAGGTGATCAGCAACACAGGAGCACTGCAAAGTGCAGTATAATTTTCCATGTCCCACGTACAACAGATTCAGAAAGAAAAGTATATGACTGAAAGACATCATAAAGCTAGTCGCGCTTGTTTGAGTTCACATAGAGTTCACTCACGAGCAGAGCTACTTTTCTGTGACTTTCACCGTTTTCTTGCTCTTTCAATTGTTCTGTTGCATGTTTCCAGCAGCCAGGAAACCCATTTCCCGTTTGGATATTTTTGTCATCATCTCTCTGTCGTGCTCTACTTTTTCTTTCTTTCCTTCCCGTGCTCTGCTGTCATACTTTCTGTTGTCCTCTATCATGAGGAATTACTCACTGATGTTTATCGCTTGTTACCGGTGATAAGACAGACATCATCTCCCCCTTAGACAAACACTGCGCTCTGTCTTTGAGTAAATTGTGCGAGTTAAAGAAGGAGACAATGTGTGACAGCGCTAACAAAAACACGTACCGTATTTTTCGGAAAATAAGCTACTATTTTTCCCCCACGCTTTGAACCACGTGGCTTATAGCTCGCTGCGGCTTTTCTGTGGATTTTTCTTCAACCGCCACAGGGCTCTTTAGCAGGAAGTGAATCATTGTAAGTCAAAATTGGAAATCAAAGAAAGCGCTCATTTTCATTTAGAACAAGTACATGCTAGCAGCAGGCACAACGGAGAAATGTTTTCAAACTCATAACCCTTCATCATAGAAACAACAGAAAGATGTTCATGTGATGCAGCTTTTAAGTTGAGGGCTATCGAGCCCTGCACTTAAGCTCAGCGTGAACGAATCCACGGTTCGGTGTTGGAGACACAGGGCTGTGTCCTTAATAGCAGATTTATTAAGGACACAGCCCTCTGCTTGTGGAAAACCGAAAGCGGCGGAGATATCAGCGGCTTATAGCCCAGTGTGGTTTATATATGTGCGTTAACAGTTTAGAAAACAAAAACGTTGTGGGTGCGGCTTAGTTTCAAGTTGGATATTCTCAAGCCTTGGAGGTTCACTTCTCTGCAGTCTGTTACACAATAAAACCACCGGGATAACGTTTGTTTTGGTCTGTGGCCTGTAAAGATGGCAACGAGCGACTGGACCTAAACGCCCCACAACGTCTGACGCAGTGACGTTGCTCCCAAAGCTCTATTGGCCAATAGCAGACATAGAAGGCAGCTCTCCTCATTAACATAACGATGCAGCAGAAAAACAGCAAACGGAAAAACAGCAAGCAGAAAAGGGAGAAGCAAAAAACGGCAAAGCAAAATATTTATTTTTCTTGACGGAAACTCGTGTAAGGAAAAGGAAAAACTAAATATATATTTGTGCTTTTATTTCTTATCAAAATATATATTTATTCTTTTATTTATATATTTATTCTTTTATTTCTTATGTCGGTTTTGGTCCTTCATATCAATACATTATAACAGTTTAAAACAATTAAAGGAATACTAAGACAATATATTATGACAATTAAATATAAGTATTCAGATAAATAATTATAAAAGTATCAACAAAAAAAATTAAAAATATTTTTTATATATTTTCCAACTCCATTGAAATTTGTCCGAAGTGTTTGTCAACACCATTAGACATAAACAGAATGTAAAACAAATCAGGCATTATTGGGGGTCATCAGAACTTTTGAGGACCCCATTGACCTCTTCCTTTCTCTTCCTTTGCTAAGAGGCTAGTTAGCTCTGGTTAGCTTATGTTATTATTTAGTTGTTTCTTCTGTTTTATTCCCAAGTTGTTCGTCACATCCATGATGTGTCAACTCCATAACTGTCATTTTACAAAACTTTGATGGAATTTTGTGAAATAAAAGCTTAATTTTAGTAAACTGTACAGATTTCATGGACCTGATGAGCTACAACATGGCCTCTTTCAGAATAACGTCATATAAATTGAGGTAGTTTGGCTTTTTTTTAACTCCGTCAGAGTTTTTATCTGACAGTGATTCTTTCAGTGTTTTCAGTGTTGACAAATCTCACTTAAATGGACAGTTAATTCATTTTAATGTATTTTACATGAATTGCATTACTTCACATGTACCAAGTTTTTCATTTTATTCACTAGTTGGTCACCACCTTCAGTTCTGTGTCTACTCTGTCAGATGGACTTTTTGTTGTTTTTTGTCTTAAATAATATTTGTTTTTGTTTCTTGAGAAGCATTTGTCTGTAAAAATGAGTAAAAATATCACTATTAGGGTCATTAAAAATATATATATTTTTTTTTTTTGTCAGATGGCGATGACGACGTTCTGGGTCAGGTCCATTAAAAATGTAATTTTCAAAAAAATGTTGAAACTGGGAGCCTGCATCTTAGCATCTTTACATTTCCAAAACATTATTTGTCATATTAGTATACATAAGCTTCAGGAATAATTAAAAAAAAACCTGGTAAAATTTAAACCCATTTTGTCCCACTTCTCAAGAATCACTGGCTTGGATTTGAATTGGTATGTTTTGCATTCAGTGAAAACAAGGATGTTGACAAATAAACTGGACAATATGCTGGCAATTTAGTGACATTTCCACAGTTGTGGTCAGTCTTGAAATACAATTCTGAGTCCTCAATGTCCGAGACCAAGACGAGACCAAATGCGGTCGAGTCTGAGAGCAGAACCATAGAAACATACGCACCACAGAGAGAAAAACAGCATTTTTTTTTTGTAAATTCGTATTTGTAAATTCCATGACATTCCATGACCTGAAATTAAATTTCATGACTTCCCAGGCCTTGAAAATAAGTAATGAGTAATGTGCGGTAATGCATCATGATGTCGTGTTTTTAACCATCCAACTGATCAGCATCACCCTGCTTGTTGAAGCTTCTATCTCAGCTTATAAAAATACTGTTTGACAACATTGGATCTGAGGATCTGATAGAGGTGATCTCTGCCGCAGTCTGCATGTTGGTTCATCCCCCAAAGTCAGAGAGCCGCTGCTGAGTCAGCAGAGCGTCCTGCTGCACATTGGGGCGGAGGAGCAGCAAGTGGGTGCACTGAATTTAACTACTCAAACGGGATCTGCTCGTAATAAGTTTGTTTAATGATGTTCCATACGTACATCGACGTAGATCGACTGGTAAATCGAGAGCTTTGCTTTTTAACTCAGCTCTCTCTTCACCATGACAGACCGACACAGCGCCCGCTTCACTGCAGATGCTGCACAAATCCGTCTGTCGATCTCCTGCTCCGTTTTTCCTTCATTCATGAACAAGGTCCTGAGATACTTAAACTCCCCCACTTAGGGAGACAGGGTTAGGGTTACCTGATGAAGCCAATAGGACCACATCATCTGCAAAAAGCAGAGATGCAATCCTAAGGCCACCAAAATGGAAACACATGTAGAATGGTTCCTTTTCTTTTAATTCTGCATAATTGACTTAACATAAATGTTGGGGTTTTTTGTCAATATTTGCCGTGAACATAGCTAATAAAGCCTTTAAGTTGCTGAGACGTATTTTCGCTTTCATTGCTGTGACATCACTGTGACTAATCAACTCGACTATCATGTTGTGGTCAACTTCAAAAAAATATGAAGTCACGCAATCCCTAATTTTAAGTAAGCAGAACTAAAGCAATAGTAATGTCTTGCCAATAACATCACAGTTGTCTGGTCAACATCAATACCTTTTTGTGTGTAGCTGGATCCTGGTCCAATAAAGGGGCTTCATTGGCCGAGGTGGCTCCACTGCAGCTTTTCTGGCTGGTTTATCCTGAGTTAAAGACAGAGAATACAGACCCAGTGGCAATGGAGGGGGCAATGAACCCATTCCTGCTGGAAGACTTGGAATGCCAGTTGCTCCTGGTGGTGGAGGAGGGGGCCCAGATCCTGGAGGAGGAGGTGGATGTGGAGGGCCTGAATGTCCTGGTAAAGGAGGAGGCGGTGGTGGAGGGGGAGGCCCTGGAAATCCTGGTAAAGGAGGAGGCGGTGGTGGAGGGGGAGGCCCTGGAAATCCTGGTAAAGGAGGAGGCGGTGGTGGAGGGGGAGGCCCTGGAAATCCTGGTAAAGGAGAAGGAGGTACGGGAGGAGGGGGGCCTGGAAGTCCATGGAAAGGAGGAGGAGGGAGAGCTGAAAGTCCTGGGAGAGGTGGAGGAGGGTCTGGAAATCCTGGTAAAGGTGGAGGAGGGTCTGGAAATCCTGGTAAAGGTGGAGGAGGAGGAGGTGGGACCAAATTCAGGCATGAGTGAAGAATTACAGTTTCTCCTTGATGCAGAAGAGGTGAAGTACAAGGCTCTAGTTGACATGAACAATCATGATTGGATGATGGCTGCAGAAAGCCTCCATCCAGCCCTCTACAGAGCATGTTGAACCTAAAACTATCATCCATTGGTGAGGTCTGCACTGACTTGACCTCTTGGCATCCCACAGAGGCCCCTGCCTCTGTTTGCAGATGAGCATCACAGAGAGACCTCAATAGGCTCTCATTTCCTCCACATTCTCTGTCGGTGGTGGAGGTGATGGTTGTTATACCCTTCTCCTCCAGAAGAGGGGGCTGACGTTCCAACTCAGCAATTTTAGTCCTGAGATCTTCTATAGTTTGCTCAAGCTGCTGGATAACATTAACATGTTTCTCCTTTAGTTTTTTTGACGGCAGCACATATTCCCCCTGCAGAAAGGAAAAATACATAATCAAATTTAAAAATGTAAAGTCTTTGTTCACTTGCACTCTTCCTACCAAACAGAACTAGAAGGATAGTTTCATCACACAACAAAATTATAGAATGCAGAGAAAAATAACAGGACAGACCTCTGATCTCTCCTCATGGTCTTGTTGTCTTGTTGTGGAGACATCTTCACAATGATCTAGGCAAAAAATATCACAGTAGAGCAATTATACTTTAGTTAAAACACTATGGAAGAGTGAAAGAAAGTAGTAATAGTAAGAGGTAACATTAAAGCTGCAGGAAGTAACTTTTATTACATTACAGCATTACATTGCAGTGTGGGCTGCAGTGACTGATGGCAGGATTCTACAGGCCTCTGAGCTGGATCTATGTTGGCTTTGTTAAACAACTTTTTAAGCATTACATCTTCACATAAGTATAAAATTATGTTAAAACATTGTTGTCCAGGTTGTCATAGCGACTTTATCCAGCTGCAATTCCATAAATGCTGCAAGATACATCTAATGTGAAATCGGTACATTTAAAAAAAAAAAAAAACTTGTAATTTACGGTAATTTAATGAATTGTATATTTATTAAAATGCAATTAAGAATGTAGAAGTGTCATAATTGTGCACAGCAAAATCAAAAGTGTTAGACTTCCAGCATTGGTGGTGTATGTTAAAAATACAGTGTTAATTCAACACTTGAAAACAGGCTGTCTTAAACTAAACTGGGTGGGCAGAGTATTTTTGAATGAATATGATGGTGACACACACAGGTGAGTCTGGTTAGTTTTGCTCACACTTCTCTTTAAAATTAGAATAATTTATTTATTATTCTAATGTTTCTGCTATTTTCCTGTTTTTCCTGCAGGCTGGGAAAAACAGGCATTCTTCTGTTGGTTCACGTGCTTCTTCCTACGTCCAAAGGCCACAAGAAAAATGCCAAAACATCTCAAGTCACACTGTGGACCATGTTGTCAGATATGTGCAGATATGTGGTTATTCTAATGATCCTACGTCTTGTGTAAAAGCACTTTCTCATTGGCTT